CTTGAAAAACTGCAAAATGTCCAGATACCGATGTTTTTATTGTGTCAAAATATTGTATCCGCCATTTAAAATTTTAAACACTGACATCATATTCGTATTAGGCGGTCCCAAAACCGTCGAATAACATACGTAAATCTAATTGAGCTTTACGTTTATCACAAACCATGAAAACTCCGCAGGAGGAAGCAAATTTTCTTGGTGAACATAAATAGGAATTGATTTTTACGTTTGTCAAAAACTATGAAAACACCAGAAGGAAGCAAATTATTTTGACGATTCTAAAGAGAAAGCAAAATGTCTTTGCAATGAACATCTGGACTTAAATCTTGTTATACTCTAGAATACAGTAAACTTAAATTCAGATGTTGTAGACACAAAACGTATTCATTGGTAACAGACTTGTCATTTGAATGATGTTCCAAAGACGTAAGAAACAAAATAAAATATTTTACATATACGTCTACAATAAATATCAAACTTCTTTTACAGAAAAATATGATGATATCACTATATGATAAAAAAAAGTAAATCAAAGATAAAAATTAACATTAAACAACTTAATTTAAGGTAACTCAAACAATATAAAAATGATTAACAAAACAGTTAAAATTAAAATAATATTTCTCAGAAAATAATAAAAAATTACGTCTGCAGAACAAAAAACTATTGAAACTAATAAAATAAAAAACAATCCTAATAATTTTTTTTCTAATTAATAACAAAAAAACCATTTTTAACAAGATAGAACCAAAAATTGAAATCTAAAACAAGGCCAGACCAGCCCAACTGCATTAAAAAAATTTCACTAATTTTCTAAATAGTTAAAACTTTTATAAAAATCTGTACTTTACAACAAAATGAAAAAAAATTTTAACCGTTTTTAAAAATTTTTAATTTTTGTAATTTTTTTGCATAAATAAAATATTAAAACATTTATAAAAAAAATTAATAGCTCAAAAGCAGTTTACAATAAATTAATGTCATTTACAATGATTACACAAAATTGTCCACTCTTTTAAATAAAAACATTTGCATGATTGTAGATTTAAAAATTCAATATTTTCAATAATAATTAAAAAAAAAGTTTAAAAAAAAATTTTTTTTTTAAATGTTCGTTGGTTTTATTGTAAACTACATGTTTTTATAATAGTTATAACATTTTAGAAAATCAATAAAAAAATTTTAACCCAGTTGAGCTAGCCTGACCCAAAAACTTAGAAAAAAAATAATTAATTTTCTATGAAAAAATGTTGTAGAGGAAAGTTGTTTGTATTTTTCTAATCTAAAGTAATATAAAGTTAAAAACATTGAAATTTGAAAAAATTGAATTTTTAAAATTTTGAAAGTACTGTAGTTTGTGTAGTTTTCGACGAAAATGGCTGGCTAACGAACTCGATCTGTATTTTAACAGTAACTTTGTACTTGCAAAGTTGCAAGTTGATACAATAAGTTTTTCAAAAGTTATCGTGGCGACACCATTGTGTCTACAGACAGACACGAAGACAGACATACAGACAGACACTTTTTTTAGACCATGTTTTTCGGACTCAGGGGACCCCAAAACGTCGAGATTTCATGAAATTAGCGAAAGTCAATTTTCGACCAAAACTAATACTTTCTCATATGATGAGAATGTAAAAATATTGTTAGAAAATTAAATATGGGCAGTTTCCAAGAGCCCAAACTGCAACGACCTTTTCTTGAAAACAACAAAACAAAATAATTTTTCCATTTGGCTAACTTAATTTTAATAAAAAATACACATAATAAGATTCATTACATATTTGAAAACAACAATAAAAAACTTTAATTTATGTAAACTGTTTTGTATATAAATTGTATATAAATTGTCCGCAACTTCACGTGTTATTATTAGGAAAAAATTTTTTGTCAGGGAAATTAAGAAAATTGTGACTTTTTTCGACTCATTTAAAATAATTGCGACAAAATACCACAATTTTTAGTAAAAAAAAAAGTACAAGTTATTTTGATTTTTATAATGTGAAAAATAACTATAAACAAATCTTTTTGAATAGTTGAAATTTTGTAAAATTTAATTGAAAATAATTAATTTATTTCAAGTCTTTTGTTACAACTAGCTCCTCCGACGGCCGCAAGCGGCCGTCTACGGTGCTAGTTTTTATATGTCCATTGTCCAAGTCCATTATTTTATTAATAATAATATTCAAATTTTTTCAGTTAATAATTTGCTTATTTATATTTGAAATGTTGACGTTTTTTTTGACAATGCAAAAGAAGATTTATTATGAGTACTTTCTCTTAACAAAAATAAAATTTATATATTCGCGCTCTTTTTAAATAACATACGACTGCAGCGCCACCTTCACATGTACAAACAATTTTAAAAACACCCTTCTATTAAGATTCTACATTCTCATTGCCCATTCTTTACTTCGATACTTTTCGATACTTTCGACCTTTCCACTCCATGTCTTTTTTAAGAAAGGATTTTTGTAGAATAAAAAATCTTTAAAGGTAAATTTAAAAATGAAAATTAGCTTCTAATTTTTTAAAATTCAATATTCTCAATTACATATTTTCAAAAATTCAAATATATACAAAAAAATAACATTTTAAAATTATTTTTAACATTTTAGAGGAAACAATCATGTTAAAAATTTTTAATTAAAATTTATCAATCAAATTCAAAAATAATTTTAAAATATAACAGAATTTTAGAAGAAATTTCCGAAAATTATTTAAATTAATTGATTTAGAGGCGAAGGTTTAGTTGCCCAGTAAAAAAAAGTATTGGAAGAGAGCGAATAGTATTGGCGGTGAGTTTCTGCCAATACGTTTTCGCGTGAAAACCGTATTGGCAGAAACTCACCGACAATACTATTCGCTCTCTTTCAATACTTTTTTTTTACTGGGTGGAAATTGTAGAAAATAATTGAATTCAGGAAGGGTTATAATTGTCATTTTAAAAAATAATTAAAATCATAAATTTTACTCATTTTCCGTAAACATTCATATTTTCCTGTAAAAAGAATTTTGTCCACGTTGACATTTGCTTTAACACCCCCCCTCCCCTTCGTGGACAAACGTGGACTTTTGATTCACCCCCCCCCCCAAATGTGTCCACGTGGTTTATGGACGGCCCCTTGGGGGAAGACGAAAAAGTTCATAACCGGAAGTCAGGGATGGGAAACAAAATTAAAATTTTTGTTTTATGAAATGAATGCATTAAAATGCATTCTAATGCATTCTGATGCCTCCTTCCTCCTCAATAAAGTATTTAGAAGGAAGGAGGCATCAGAATGCATTAGAATGCATTCTAATTTAATTTAAGAATGCATTAGAATGCATTCTAATTTAATTAAAGAATGCATTAAAATGCATTCTAATGCATTCTAATGCCTCCATCCTCCTAAATACATTATTAATAAAGTAAATTTATTTTAAATTTATTTCATTTTATTTTTTTTTATTTTTAATTTTATTTTAAATTTATTTTTAAAAAAATTTTTTTCTAATTTTTTTTTGAATTTTTTGATTTTTGAACTTTTTCGTCTTCCCCCAACTAATTTTTGATTTTCTAGCTTATTAAAAGCTTTTGCAAAAAGAATTAATAAAAAATAAGCAAAATTGGTAAAAGCCGCTTATCTGGATAATTACCGATTATAATTACATAACCAATTTATATTATTAGTGTCTAAAAATAAGAAAGATCATATAAAAAAAGTTACAAATATTCTGAAACAATTTTATAAGTTACTATTATCGTATTTTCTTGATTAAGCACCCAGAAATATTATTTAATTGTACCTGAAACTTTTGACCTATTTTCTGTTTATATTCCGTTCATTTCCCGGTAAGAAGCAAAGAATTGAAAAGAATTCAAAAGTTGTATTCTTCGTAATAGGAGAATTTATCTCGGAGCTCTATTCCACGGAAACGACCAAAATTTCAGAAAAGTCTATTATTCTGAATTGACTTCAGAAAAATATGAAACGCGCATTCAAAAGAATGAGAAAGTACAGCAAATCAGTAGAAATTTATATTCCTCTGAATTAACTCACTGCCACTCAAGATTCCACTAGAAAGTGAGGTTAGGTTTCAAAACTTGACTTAAACATTTAACACTTGAAAATTTCTTTTAATAAGAGCATTTTATATTTTATCGTAAGCACTTTGCGTCTTTAAACCATATTTTCACTAGTTTTAATATTTAATTTTAATAGTTTAGCTGTTTAGCACAGAAATTACAATGAAATTCACACGATGCGAAACATAGCGCTGTCACTGCGTTTTATTTTAAGATAATAACTATACAGGAGCTCTTACAGACAATTAGAAAAATTAGGTTTTTTCAAATTCTTTGTCAAAAGTTCTATTCCTTTTAATGCGCTTCTGAAATTCGATGCAGTCAATTGAGAATAATAAACATTTCAGATTTACTCGTCGAACATTCTATTCTTTTGAATTGACTACCTAGAATCGTTAGCAGTCAATTCAAAATAATAGAACTTCATATTTTTTTCAAGAACTTGCAATACCATAAAACTTTGCGCATTAGGAAAAATAGAAAATTTGAATTCTTTTCTATCTCCCGATCGACGAGATATAGAACTCCGAGGTAAATTCGCGTATTCAGAATAATTCAAAATTCTCGTTTTCAAGCATATTTTCTAGAAATTGAATTCTTTTCTATACTACGCTTCTTACCGGGTTGTCATGTACACATAACCTATACTAAAAAATTTAAAAATTATTAAAGAAATAACTTGTTTATTGAATCTACTGTTTTATCTTAAACTATATAGAATTGTACTAAAAGTTATAATTTATGAAATATCGAGATAAATAAACCATTTTTTTTGTTACTGGTGTCAATTCTTTCATTGGTTTTTTAATCATTTTTTACAATATTGAATTTTGTGCCTCTCTTTACATAAAAATTTGAATTAATTTAAATTATACTAAATTTTTATAAATATCAGTTTTTGTTAAATAATAAAAATAAAATAATAACATACAGGATTTTTCATAAGTTTCATTAGCTTCAGCCGTTGTAAGTCTGACGTTGATTTTGCAACAAACGGTTTCTCTTCCTCGGTTTCTTTGGCATCCATAGGAGTACTTGACATTTTTAAAAGTGTATTAAATAAAAAAACATGTTTAGGTAAAACTGCAAACATTCACAATTTTCATTTCTTCATATTTCTTTCCAATAAAAGCAAATTAAACCTAATTTAACTACAATTTTGTAAGTTAAAATAAATAAAATCCGTTAATGTTGCTTTCAACAACTAGAGACAAGACTTAGAATCAATAACAAAATAAATAAAGTAAACATATAACTTGAATGTATGGTACACTCAGTACTGCAGGATATACTGCAATTTCGTCTGCTATTTCTAGAGGAATAAAGGCCTTTCTCCAATGGGTTCCCAAAACTCGAGACGCATGCATATCGCTTTTCTTCAACATCGCCCAACCCTGAGTACAATAACAAGAGCTCAATGTTTCCGAGCTCTGTTAGAGATAGTCTGCTCATTTTTACATGTGTAAGATATCAAGCTGTTATGTGTACTTATATATTTTTTTCTATTAAAAAAGAGAAGTAATGTAAAGTTCGTCAGAAACATTCTAAATGATAACGTGAGAGATAAATTTTAATTATGTATATTAGTTGACAATAATTGAAATCAACATTCCACTGGTGTTTTTGAACGAGTTCAAGCGACTATACATACTTTTTTCATTTCGTATTTTACATTTTCAAAATTACACACCGCTTTTTATAGACAATGACTAAGAATTTAATAACAAATGTTGATCCATTCAGTGAAATGATTCTTGAAGATGATGATAATACAGAAGGTATGAAATCAATTTTTACTTATTTCCTTATTTATTTTATATCATTTTTGCTTATAATATTTTGACAGCTCAAGCATTTTAAATGTGGCCATAGGTATTTTGTAAACAAAGCTTATTTCTTTTTTTATCTCTAAATAAATCTTACAAATGAAACGTGTCATTTGAAAATTCTTAAGAAAAACAATTCTTTAGGTTAATGTTATATTCTATCAGTAATATTTGTCGATGTACGTACAATTTTTTATACTGTTTGTAGTCTATTATAAAATAATAATTTTAGACGTATAATATACAACATATATATTTTTTTATTCATTATATAAACTAAAATATCAAGATATGTATAAACATTTTTCAAAATAACTAAAATCGAAATAACATATTTTTAAGATTTTATTAACTTTTTGTTTCAATTAATAATTAAAATAAATAAAATACTATTCTTATATACACTGGGGTAAAAAAGTTTTAGTACATTTGCACTGATTACTTTTAAATGCTCGCTTCACTTCAAATTCAAATATTTCTGTAAAAATAGACGTAACATCTATAAAACTAGGATCATTTTAAAGTTCAATAAATTTAGTCAAGTAGGCTAAGATATAACCAATTTATTAATATAAATATTGAAAATATAATACTTTAAAGTTAGAGATTTTTTGCCAAAATTGCGATTTCGAAATTTGGAGTTCAAGCAAACGCCAATTAAAGAAAATTTTTTTTTAAGATTTGACAGTTGATTTGACATAAAATTTTTCCCTCTTTTTATAATTTTACAAATTTTAACTCTGTCATTATACCTTACTTATTTCTTCTATAGGTGCCAATCTTCTTATTTTACAATAACAAAGAGATGCATATTTTTCAAAATTGTGGTTAATTCATAAAACAAGTGAACGGAAACGACAAATTTGCAATTTATGGGTAAAAATAAAAAATCGACAAAATGTGATTTTATTTTGAAAAGAAAATAAAATCTTTAAAATGTTGAAAAAATTGTCTGTTTTGTTAGTTATGTTCTAAAATATGTCAAAAATCATAAAACGCAAGATCAAGGAACACTTATTTGATTAATAATCTTTTTTTAGTAATCACATATTTAATCTATTTCAATATGATGAAATTATTCAAAAAAGTTTATAGTAATAATTAATTTTTTATTTTTAGTTACTTTAATTATTTAATTACTGAATTTACCTATTAAATAATAATAACATATTATTTAGAGTGTCAAACGTTTTAATATGAATATCTGAGAATATTTTTTGATATCTATTGGAATAGGTTTTAGAAATGTTCTTTCTCCCTTTTATACACTGAAAAAAAAGTATTGAACCAAGAAAATTTTTCTTGGTTGAAGCAAATCGTGGGATTGAATACGGCCAAGACTATTAAAGTATTGATTCAAGAAAACGATTTTCTTGACATAGGATATTTGGGAGAAGAACATATATTCTTGATCCAAGAAAATATGGAATTCGACCAAGAAGTTAGTCTTCTTATACGAAGTATGAAATGTATTAAATGAATAAAATATTTTCTTGTTCTAAGAATATATATAGTTAATTGAATTATTTTATTTGATTCATTCAATTTTTTGTAACGTTCGTTCAAGTAATTCAAGATTTAAATGAAGAAAACATTAATTTTGTGAGAAGAACAGATATTCTTGATCCAAGAAAATATGGAATTCGACCAAGAAGTTAGTCTTCTTATACGAAGTATGAAATGTATTAAATGAATAGAATATTTTCTTCTTCTAAGAATATATATAGATAATTGAATTATTTTATTTGATTCATTCAATTTTTTGTAACATTCGTTCAAGTAATTCAAGATTTAAATGAAGAAAACATTTATTTTGTGAGAAGAACAGATATTCTTGATCCAAGAAAATATGGAATTCGACCAAGAAATTAAGTAGCATGTAAGAAATGCAGATTATATTAATTCAAAATCATTTATGTATCAAATCAAGAAAGTATGTTCTCTGTCCAAGAAAATATTTTCTTGATTTGAGAAAATTTATAGATTTCAATCAAAAAAATACTTTCTCAATACAAGTAAATTATTTACTTAAATTACCCCCCCCCCCATCTTTTCTAATACTTAGGTCAAACATTTTTATTATTTAATTAATTAACATTTATATTTTTTATTTAAATAATTAAATAATTGTTATTTTACATATATATTTACATTTAATTATTACTTAAGTTCAGTAAAAAAGGGTTGCTACAGAACCTGGAAAACCTGGAAAACCTGGAAAAGTCAGGGATTTTTTAAAAAAGGTCTGGAATACCTGGAAATGTCATGGAAATTTGAAATGCCTGGAATTTTATTCCACTTAATATTTTTTACTACATTTTTTCTTTTAAAAAATGATGTCTTGGAATTCCTGGAAATGTCCTGAAATATCCTTGAATTTTCCATATTTTGCTTTTAAAGCAAAATTTTTATTTTTTTTTGCTTTTTCAATAATTTAAAAATTTTACTCAAATTTAAAAAAATAATTTTTTTGATCCATCAAAAAATAATTTTAATTTGTCGTTTGATTAAAGAATCTGATATCTATATTATATAATATTGATTTTTAACTCTTTTTATAATAAAATTAATATTTTTGTTCAAGTAGGTTAATTTAAATTATGTTAATCGTAATATGAAATAATATTACACATGTAAATGTCCTAGAAAAATAAAAAATCTGTCCTGGAATGTCCTGGAATTTTAAGTCTTATTTTCAGTAGACACCCTGTCTGTGCTTTAATAATCAAATAGAGATAATCTAACGTGAATATTTTTATAATACAGAAAAATTGCTCTAATTTATAATGTTCAAAAGGTGACCTGGAAATTTATCAGATTTGGTACTGGAAAACCTGGAAAAGTCATGGAAATTTAAAAACAGACTTCTGTAGCAACCCTGATAACACAAATACAACAAATATACCTTGAAAGAAAATTTTCCACGGTCGGAGGAATTGAACTTGGGTTGCACGCACCAGAAGCCGTCACGCTACAACTATGCCATCCTAGCCTCAATGGACAGTTTTCAAAAACTGATATTTAAGTTGCATATACATTTGAAGAAAAATATTTTCTTGGATCAAGAACACCGGCATTGTGTTAAGTAAAAAAAAGTTTCAAAGCAAATAAATAAAATGATTCGATTCAAGAAACATGAATTCTCCAGACAATACTTTATTATTTCGCTTAAGAACATGATATTCTAGATTCAATACTTTTTGGTACTTCGGAAAAGTAAAATATTTGGTTGAAATAATTACATATTGAGTTCTGACAAATACTAAATTGTTAATTCAAGAATTCTGTTCAATGCTAATAATTACTTGACACAAGAAAATGAATTTCTTTCTTCAAATAAATATGGGATTAATTGAATATAATTTTTAATCAACTTGAAACAAATATTTACTTATATTAACCTTCGTATTTTCTTGAATCAGGATTATATGAGCGTTGAATTAAGTAAAAACTTTTTTAAAGGAAACAAAAGAATGATTTAATTCAAGATCTTACACTTAATTAAATTGAATAAATAAAATATTTCATTCCAGAAAATATAACATTCTCGCAAGAAATTAATGATTTTGAAACATGAGAATATAGAAATGCTTCAAGTAAAAGAAATGCTTAGATCAATTAATATTTCTTTGAAACAAAATAATTTTTAATTGAGTTGAAACAATTATTAACTTTTTTTAATCTTCCCATTTTCTTGGCTCAAGACTAGGGGTGTTGGATGAAATAAATAGTTGCTTTAAAGGAAATAAAAAAATTATTTGACTCAAGATACCAAATGACTCAAGGTAAATTACTTGACGTGAGAACATAATATTCTTGATTCAATACTTTTTCGAGACTTGGCGCATGTAAAACAGTTCGTTTGAAACAGTAAGATATTTACTTATGTCAAACCCATATTTTCTTATTTCAATAACTTTGATCAATGCTCAAAATTACTTGACACAAGAAAATAAATTTCTTCCAATAAGAAAATATGGGTTTGTTTCAAATAAATTAGGTCAAGAAAATGCATTTACTTGATTCAATGAACTTTTTTTTTCAGTGTAACGACTGACTTCACTCTTAAAAAAAGATATGTCGGACAGGACACGATGACAAAAAATAATGAACATGAATTTTTATTTTTGTTATTATTCGAAAACTTGAATTTAGTTTTAATTGCACATTTACACAAATAATATATATATATATATATATATATATATATATATATACCAGAAAATGATTTTATACACTAATTACCATTTAAAAATGTTCGCCTTAAAAAAAGACTTTTGAACACGATGATAAAAAGAAGATGTACTCTTTTCTTATTATTATCAAAATATCATTTTTCTAATTTTTAAATTGATTTTGACATTTCTTTATGCTCACGTATTATCAAATTTATATCGTACTTCATTTATTTCATAGTTTTACAACTTTTAATTGCGATCCCAATTTGAAAACTGGTAAATATGTGTGTGAGGACACGATGACATTAAAAAATTTTAAATCTAGGGACACGTTAAAAATTCTTTAAATTTCGCATTTAGTGCACTGAGAGACCTTTTGGACTGCAGCGGAACAACGTATGAGATAGCAGCTCCACTATGATTTTAGTGCGCTGCGATACAATTTTAGGCGCGTGACAGTCCAAAATGTTGGTGAGAAACTCACCGAAGTAGTGGGGATGCCGTCATAGGTTTGCAGCTAATCAACTTTTGGACTGTCACGCGCCCAAAATTGTACCGCAGCAACCCAAAAGTATAGTCCTGTAGCGTACCACCAAAATGGTCAGTAGCAGCCTATCGAAAGTCTGCTGCTGACCCAAAGGTCTCTCAGTGTGTTATAAAAATACTCACTAATTTCGTATATTACACTTTATACATTGAAGAATACGTATACGAAGAGAAATTTTAATTTATATAACAACAAATTGAATTAAAAATTTTTTTATATCGTAAAAT